AACCATACATACAGCCAACAACGAAATGATATTCCTGTGCTCTGACCAAAGTATGAACCGGTCTGTTCCACAGGATTGCAATGGACTATTATGGAGCATACATATCCACGTTTCGCTCTGTCCTCGTGTCAAACGAATCTGTCGATCCAAGCGTCATCAGCTTTTACCACGCCCGAAATAACAGCTTCCTCAACCATCAGCGATCAGTACTCTGGTACCAGCACGACTGGTTCCAGTTGCGCCCTGACGAATTACTCGAACTCTTCGCACGGGACGTTGCAGCATGCGTCGTCCAGCGGATCGACACCGTCGACACAGTGCCCGAGTAACTGCCAGAGTCCCTGCGCCAGTCCGCAGACCGCAATTAAGAGGAAACGATCGACAAACCCGCAGGCGGACGAGAACTTTATCAGAGCGTTAGACGCCGTCCGATACGGCGGCATAGGTTTCTGTAAGGCGGCCAGGATGTTCGGTGTGAACAATCGAACACTTTGGCTGGAGTACAAAAAGCGTGGTTACCCGAACAACCGACCAAGCTTGAAATCGAGGGTCAAGCAAGAAGTGAATTCCTCGCCGCCGCCGCCAGCCCCGCCTGCGCAGCCGGTTAATTCGCAGAGTCCAACGCCGATGGGACCTCCCACCACTCCGCACAGTACACACAATACCCACAGCACGCATACCATGCTGACCACTCATAGTCCTCATACGATGTTAAGTGGTTACATCGATAGCAGGCATACGGATTACGCATTGCCCAGTACTACAATGCCAATCAATTTACATGGCGTTAACTACAATGCGATGTGAGCCGCTGGCTACGACACGCTGATGCCAACGGCCGTTTGCATAGACGAGCTTGAAAAGTATTAGAAGTCTCGAATAGACTTGGGCGTGTTGAGCGACGAAGGGAGGAATTTTCAAATATCGATAATACTCACCCGAAATCTGGACCGTCTTATTCTATCCTTAGAGCAAAAGAGAAACGACACGGTTTTTTAGATTATTATCTTCTTTGCCTAGTTCATACTACGTACCTATTAAAAAAACATGCTTTCTCATGAGTAACTCAAGTTCGCTATCCGCGAAGATCTCAAGTAATAGGAAACGACAGTACACACGACTTTATACCATATATCGCAGATTTTTTTTTTTCTTTTCTTTTCTTTTCTTTTCTTTTCTTTT